CCCCAAAACCCCAAAACCCCAAAACCCCAATTTAATGACAAAGAAATAAATTTCTCTGAATAAAATGAAGAATAACAACATGACTTTTTACAAGATAGAGAGGAGAAATTACATCTCTTCACCATGACATACTCCAGTGTTAGCTCAAAGTAGAAGGAGGCGGATGGTCTCCACCTCTCCTTTGGAGAACTCCACCTCAGTCAAGCAAGAGAGGGTATGCTTTTCCGGCTTTGTAAGTCCTAAATTGTGTGTAAAACCTGGTGTATTTACTCTAAAATAGAATTCCCCTATATCGATCAATAATATGAAGGAGTACAGGCTGAACTTGATTCCCAACATCAAGTGAGCTCCTTTTGGAAGAAAGCAACTCAAGAAAGAAACAATACTGAATAAAATAAAAAGAATTAAGCTACAAAATCCATCCAAGATGTCTAATAGAGTGTTTAACAGAGGCAGAACGGTGGAGAGAAAGCTAAATGGGAAAGGAGGTACCAAACTTAACAAGTTTCTTAAGAGAAAAGTAAGCATCATTTTAGCAAGGTTTTGACTCCAAAGTTTAGTATATTTCAAGAGTTGTATATCAAGAAAGGGTTGAAGTATATTTAGGACTTTAGAGGCTACTGAAGTAGTATAAGAGCAAGGTTTTAATGTACTGTCGACTCAAACATTTTGGTTAAAAGCGATTTAGAGGATCCTTCCTACCATATCTCATTATCAATCAATTTTTTACGAACGAGAAGGGTATATCTCCTATTTATCTATCAAAGTGTCTTGAACTCTCTCCTCAAATCGCTTACACTATCATCTAGTTGAGATTCCTGAGCCCATTCCCGCAAACATCAAGGAACCTCCTGAATCAAAATTCAAAAGAAAGTACCACTAAAAAGCTAAATTCGACAATCAAGAATCCACAAATAACGGCCTCAAGAGCAAAGAGGGTTGAAATTTTTAGTAGTAGAAAAATACCTGTAACCGAAGACACGAGGTATTCCAAGGCAGTCTCAAATATCTGAGCACCTGTAAGTTACAAATCTATCTACAATCCAGGCCTTGCGACCTTCAGGGGTTGTAGGTCTCAGAATTTATAACGTAGCCAGGTACCCCAATTTTCTGAGATATGTACTAATATGAAAATCCTTCTCAGAAAGAACAACTGGCACCAGAAATTTAAGAAATTTTAGAGATTGGGTTATAGCATAAGGTCGCCACCAGTGGCCTAGATTTTACTAAGAGAGTAGTCTATGGACGTTTGATACCTTGTTTGTATCTTCAGTCAGTTGGTTCATTCTTCGAGTAGAAATTACGATATAGTAATTTGAGAATTTTTGTAAACCAAACGCGTACGCGATTATTTGAGTATTTTGAATCTTTTTATGAAGAGCCTTTTTTAGAATATTTAACCAGTATTTATTATACAATTTTAAGATTCTAATGACTTACTAACGGATCTCAATATGATATGAACTCCTGATTTTGAGAAATGCCATTCAGCTTCATTAATATCAAAGTTGGGTCATATCCCACCATCATACCAAAAATGAGAAAATTCATGTATTTAAGAATTTCTGTTATCTAAAACCTTTAACCCATAAACACAATTTACATAATTTGGTTAAGCATCATAGTTGTCATCTCCCCAGCTCCTAGCCTAATCTTGTTTTATTTAGTTAAAGATCCCTTTAAAGACACTTACATCTCCTTGTGTTTCTTCAGGGCAACAAAGCCAGATCAAAAGCTACACTCTGTTCTGTTCTCCAAGTCAGAAGAACTCAGGTAACCCAAAGAACACTTTGATGGATTACCTAAATGATATGTCAGACGAAGACCTGCCCGAATGAATGGGAGGGAAGGAAAAAGGACCGAAAAGAGTCTCCTTTTCAGCGATATTTGGGGGTTAAGTGGGGCTGAAATTTTGTGCAGGAAAAGTACCTATAAGATTCAAAATTCTAGTTAAAAAGTAACGTTACTCCACTATTTAAAATTTCTTCAGACAAAGTTTCTTATTGGTTATCTTTTCCTTTGATAAGATTTTATATTAAATCTTTTTCCCATTAAATTACCCAAAATGGGGTTTTGGGGTTTTGGGGTTTTGGGGTTTTGGGG